TGTGTGTGTGTGTGTGTGTGTGTGTGTGTGTGTGTGTGTGCGCAGTTTGCCATGCGTGTTTTGACAGCTACAAGCGAGCCACCTGAGGCGAGCGCACACGTATCGCGCCGAGCCGACATCAGATCGCTCCACACCGGGGAGGAAAAGGGAGGAAGCATGCCGGTGGGAGCTGGAGCTGTCAGTCTGGGTTTTTAGCATACACGGGTACGAGAATAAGGAGCGAGATATTCGTGCAGGGGCTTAAAGGAAAATTCCGCATTATCCCTCTTTGGGGTTTCGTAGGGAAAAGTATCTTTAGAAATCGGCTGTTCAGCAGCAACAGCTTCCACGGTGGTTTCCATCTAGGTTTGGTTCAGGCAAGTTTCTATAAGGAGAAGCGTGAGATCAAACAGGGAACCTTAGTAAAGGAGCCGGTCATGGCAGCTGGATAAAAAAAAGTGCTAGTTTAAAAAAAGAAAAAGGTTCACTCCTTGATTCCCCTTTTGGTCAGTGGGTTAAATGACCCCCAAACTCGACTCATGAGCTTGCAGCTCTGACTTCCATCGTCCTCTTGGACGTGGTGGTTCTGCCCCCTGAAAAATCGACTGGAACCAGCCAGGGCTAAATGCCGGAATTTTCCTTTAAGCGGGTTCGAGGGGTTAAGCTGTACAGTTGCAACCCACCACCTACAATGTATGATCCTTTGGTTTTCTGCGACAGAAAGGGGAGAAGAGAAACCTCCATTTAAAGACCACAACGAAGCGTTTTGCTACAGAGCGAGTGCGGCGCGCACACAGACGGATCTGGGCGCAGCGCACGTCCAGCTCTACACAGATGATCTGTCCTAACGTGTGTCACGCCGGTCCCGCTGTGTCCCTGTTTTCATCCCGGCTGAGCTACAAGACCCACACGTTGATTAGCGGCCAGTCTAATCGGCGCTGCTGCTAATGATGATTTCACAGAGCGGTTTCTGGCAGCTCGGACAAACTCTTCATTTGAAATCTTCTCAATAAGGCAAGGGCAGAGATGCGATCGCAAAGGCTGCTTTTGACATGACGGGATGTTTCACAATAAATCAAAAAGCTCGTTAGGAGCGTCAGTCCACTGAGCGTGATCATCAGGTCAGATCTGATGAATGAAAATGGAGGCCGGATTGGTCTTCTTGGAATCATCAATTTGTGACGCTAAGCTAAATGCTAACTGTAATTTTTCAGACTTCCATGAGTTTAAAAAAAATACAACTTTATGTTTTGTTTGCCACGTGTCTGACGTTATCAGCGCGTGTCTAATGTGGAAAATCTAGTCTCTGGGATCCACCCAGTCACTGAAAATTAATGAATCAAATCCCAGAGAAAAGATTTGCCGTTAAACTTAAAAAAGCAGTTGATTGAACTGAGAAATGAAGTTCCCTGACGGTGGAGCTGCTTTGCCTTTTTATTTTTGGCCCTTTCGTGTTGCCATTATCCTTGTTTTTGTACATTTAAGGTCTGAGCTTGATATCTGCCTCAGGTCGGGGCTTTAACACAAACACATGATGAAACCTGAATCAAGGTTTGCTGACAGCCAGTGGATCTAAGACCAGAATAAAGAGAATGCTAGAGAAGAGCTGCTTAGGTTTGAACGGGGATGTCAGGCTGGACTTGATGGAAGAATGGAATAAAAACAACTACACTGAGTGTGAAGGGGGGTGGGGGGGTGTTAGAAGGGATGTACAGATATATGAATGAGTCAAATCTATGGATCAAAGTGTAAAGGAAATTAAATCACGTGGACTGCTGAAGGAGGGATCTGTAAATGTGGAGTGGGAAAGACAAAATGCAAGAAAAGAAGAGCCAGAGAGAGAGGGAGAGGGAGAGGGGTGGAAGGTGAAATGTACACTGACCTGTGAGAGATCTGGGATGTCACCCTGATCTATTCCAACTTGCTGTCGTCAAAAGCAAACAAAAACAAAATAAAAACAAGGGGAGGGGAGGAGAGGTGGGGTACAATGGAGAGGACAAATAAAAAAAAAAAAAAGAAAAAAAGGCAGGAACAATTTGGAAAAAAAAAAACGAACGTAACAAAACAAAACAAAAAACAGATGAAAAAAGAAAACAAAAAACAGGGGAATCGTTACTTCATGCAGCGGCAGTGTCAACAGAAACGACAACAGAAACAAACGAGCAAAACGTCTTCCGGCGGCTGGACGCCCCACAGAGAATGAGGGTGATGACTGCACACGGATAAATATGTCTGACCAATGAGAGAGAGCGGGGATGGATCATGGCATGGTGGTGACACTCGGCTCCAAAAGTCAACTCTTACAACTGAGACGAGTTAACGGGCGACTCCTCAGGACACACACACACACACACACACACACACACACAGAAAGAAAGAACGTCACTTCTTGCTCTGTTCGGTCGGAGTTCACGTGAGCCGGTTGGGCTTCCTAAAGACAGCTGTAAAACACACTTTTAGAGTAAAACTCGTTAGCAGAAAGCTAGTGCTCTCCCACTACTCAACAGATACCTTTAAAGATTTAAGAGGACTTTTTTGTGTTTGTTTGTTGGACTCCAGATTGTTTGGAAGGGATCCAGCTTGATCTAATCAAGATGCTGATGGCTTTGCCTTTTCTTTTTTTTTGGGTTGTACTTGAAGATGTAACACACAGCTTGTGGGTTTTTGTGGGCTGCCGGAATGAATGCATTTTCTAATGGATTTTCTTCATCTCTGGTGAGGTAGCGAAGACGGATCGTTACACAAGCTTAATGAAATTATGAAATCGATAGCAAAGAACGTGTGAAAATAACTTTCTGAAAAAAAGTCAAATTCCACGATGAGCAGTGTGTTTATCTGGGATTTAACAGAGCCAAAATGATACAAAATGATCAAACAAACACTAGTCCAGTAACTTTTTGACTTAACAAGATGTAAACGGTTCAGATAGATATAAGGTTTTTATCATATATTATAACACTATAATGACAAGAAAAGGTTTCAAAATGGAAGGTAAGGCAAATGTACTCATTAAAATTAGCTAAATATCTCCTTTCTTTTTCTTCTTCTTAATAATAATAACTTTTTAAAAGATTAAACTTTTGCTGCCCAGTCATTAAACCAAAAAGACATGGAAATCTGAACGGGAGCGTCTGCCTCCGTTAATTATTGCTGAAATGTTTCCTCTGCTGAAATGACTGTGGCCAACTAACGGCTTCAAATATAATGGGGGGAAAGAAAAAAAGATAAAAAAACGAGGGGGGAGGGAGGGAACTGGGCACAAGGGAGAAGAAAGGAAGAGGGATGATCTGTGGGCACCGGGCAAAAGAGAGCCACACAAGTATCTGTCTCTGTCAGCATCGGAGGGATGAGCGAGGGAGGAGCGGGGATTAGATGGAGGAGCGGAGGCAGAGAGAGCTAACTGAGCACCTAAGCACATCCTCCATCTTTGGGTTATTTTGGGCGGGCATATGTGCGTGCGTGCGTGTGCGCGGGGAATGTGGGGCAGAGAGGGCGAGGCGCGTACGCCTGTTTGCTCGCAGCTGAGTGAGCAGAAACTGAGGCCGAAATACAAAGTTTTACGCGCATTCATACGCCTGTGTGTGCTCTCTGGACGAAACCCAACGAGGGCTGCTCTTCAAACAGAAAACAAATGGAGGTAAAAATCTGACATAACCTCACACGTTTATTCCTACCGTGTGGATGTATACGTGTGTGTGTGTGAATAAATGTACCTCTGCCACTTTGAGGAACTCCGACAGCTTCGTCATCCTGTAAAGAAATTTTTTGTAGATGTCCAGAGCATCTTTACACTGGTTCTTCTTCATGTCAAAGTATTTCTCTGTGGGGACAAGAGCACAGCGTGGGAGAGGATTAATGCAGAGACGATGGAAGGTTTAAAAAGAGAAGGATGGGAGGATGGGTGTGTTCCATGAAAGAAGGGGGTGGGGGGGGGGGGGGGAAGAAAAACCATTTGGCAGGTACATGACAGCTTGTCGAGGCCTACTGTGCTGTAGTGACAGGCGTATGTGTAGTGACACATACGCCTGTCTCAGTCTGTGTGTGTTCACGCATCTCCCAGAGAGGAGGGTTTTTGCATGAGTGGACGTGGGTTATTTATGCCGCATCATTTCTGACACTTTGTTATCAAAATCTTGCTGGAAGAACCAGTGAAAACATGATCGCTAAAGGACTCCTGCGAGTCCAGGAGGGGCGGGGCTTCGGCTCGCGCGTGAGGCATTCTTCTTCGCGCTGGTACTTGTGGACATGGAGGTGAACCATAACTTTTCTATGCAGAATTACAGCCAATCGCATTTGTCCTCATCGCTGCTCCTTTTTTTTCCGGAGAACGTTTCTCCGGATTATGAGCTGTGGATGATGAACCGCCTGAACTGCTGAAATATTTACAAGGAGAAACAAGTTTTTCTTAATTACTTAAGCTTTCTTCCCACTCCCATCTTTGACCGGGAGGTAAACGACTCTTCCACAAAGAGGACTGTATATTTTTCAAAGCCTTTGCAGCAATTATTACATCTACTGGCAGTTTTTGGCCCAGGAATCAGAGGAATATGGTCAGCAAAATGCCAGCCATAGTGAAGGTATTGAGCATGGCATCACTCTCCCCTTGGCTGACATGGCTTCAGGAGACACACGGAAAGGCCAGACCTTTCCTAGCCTTATCAAAAATCATTTCCTCCTCATAAATGTACTGGGAAATCTATTTTACAGCTCCATTGAGGCTTCCGTCTGCAGTGATCTCAGCCTGTGGGAGCAGGATTTTGCTTCTTTTTTTTCCCCTCAGAGAAGAAGAAACGTGTAGTCATAAAGCTAAAGGACTGACAACAGCAATTGACCCAATCAAGAGAAATAGCTGTCCAAAAAACACCTTTGGACAGTTATGACTTTGGAAGATAAAAAAGGCATAGCGGAGTTTGGGTTGTTCTGGTTGTCCTCCGCCGTTTTGTTTTGTTTATTTTCACTGGAAGATTCTTGGACAGAAATCCTGCCGTGAGGATTATGAGCCAACTTTCCTTTTACAAACAAACACAAGTGGAACTGTCAAAAACACGCGTTCGGGTAGACGATGATCCGGCTTCCCGGGCTGCTGAGACACAGTGTTTCCAATTTCTTGTTGCTCTGTCGGACTACTTTTCTGTCTCCAGCGATTTGTACCTTTCTTCCTAGTTCTGATCCTTTTCTGGGAAGAATTAAAACATAGTCTGTGTTTGCACTCTAAGTACAAGTGTGCTCATATATTTAGAGGGTCAAGAGGGAGCCTTTTCTCCAAACCTATTGCCAAAAATATCCCCTATAAAGAAGACAGGTCTGAGGGTGGTTGCTTGTGTGTTTGTGCTACCCAGCAGGTTGATGACTCCTTCATTGTAAGCAGCAAAGAGCCTTATAGAGTCTTTGAAGAGGAGCATGAAGGCTGAGTTGATCACACCGTTGGTCAGTTCGTTGGGATTGGCCTGCAGAGAACAGAGAAGTGGAGAATCTGGAAGTGAAGGGGACGTCTCTTTTAAACCCCCAAAAACAACATCGCAACCCAATCCCCGCCTTCCCCTCGCACGCCCATTCACCAAACGGCGGAACCTGCCACCGTTATTTGTTTTCCGCACTTCTGAACTTCCCAAAATATTGCTCTTTAATTTACATTTTGATTAGATAAGTCACAGACAGGTGTGGTGGAACACGCAAACACACTTCTTACCTGGAAATCCAGCAGAGCGTCCAGCTGGTTCTGGATGATGGGCAGCGTCTTAATCAGCTTCTCCGTGTTCATGGTACGCATCACACCATCAATACTGACAAAACAGGATATACAGGCAATTGTGTTAGGCAACTCGTAGATGACAGCTTGTATGGAAATTTGATGCAAATCAAGAATGGAAAAACAAAAAAACTCTGCATATTGAAGCTTCCTAAAATTTGCTAAATATCTACAACATCTTGAGGTGAATTGTTAGCACAAAAAAGAAAAAGAAGTGCGCCCGAGAAGTAATTTTTCCCATAAAAACCCTGATTCAGCCTGACAGAGATTCGGTGCTCTCTCTCAGATTATTTGGGGACTCAAGTTGTCTCTTAAACAGCAAATTCACCAGGGATGCAGCCCCTTTTGCTTTTTAAACAAAAGGCTTCTTCCAGGTTATGTTATCTGGCCATTAAGAGAGTTTGGCGCCGAACGAGGAACGTGGTCTTCTTGGTGGGAAAAAATGCCTGAAGCTGACATCTTATAAAGGCTGACCACCCCTACCCCCGCTTCATCTTGGTGAAATCCACAGCCACCAGCCTGTAGGACATGGCCTTTTCGTTCAGGTAGCGGCTGTACCGTCTGATGAAGGTCGACATGTCGTAACCTGGAAAAAACAGAACAGGGTAAATATTTCAAACAAAGTTTACTCGTATATGAGGCTCCTTGAAGTTTTACTGTAGATTTTGATTTCTTCAAGGTGTTTTCACCTTGCAGAGCGCCCTTATCCAAGAAGTTGTTCAGGTTGAACAGAGTGTTTCTGGAGGCCAGGTACTGGATGAAACGCTAGGGACACAGAAAAAAAGAAAGGAAGGAAGGTTTAACGTAAAAGGCCCGACAGATTAAAAGAAAATATTTTTTTTGTCTGCATCAAATGGTCAAAGCCTGAAAACAAGGGCTGCATTAACACATTACAAGAAAAACGTCACTTTTAGGGTCATCTGTGGACAGAAATTCTAAATAAAGCTCAAAGCGTCAGCATAGAATCTTGAGAGAAATCACAATTGTTGAATTACTACCAAGCACTGGCACAAAGAGTTTACAGCCAAGCAGTAAGTGTGGCACTTTTGGATGAGCACTATGCCAAAATGTCAATATTAGCATAAATCCATGCTGCGGGTTAACAATGGCAACACGGTGAGGTACATTATCATCACCATGATTGCCATTTTACATTTTTGGGAATCAGGGCTGCGCTGGAAAATCAAAGGCAGCCCAACTACACAACTAAATTGTATTGAATTATGTTGTTATTATTAATAACTAATAAGTGAGTCGATGCCCTGTTATGAATAAATATAACAAACAAACATTCCATTTGGTGAGCCGAGATGAAACACAGGAGTCATTAGAGCTCATATTCTGATGATCACACACATCAAAATGTCACACCGAGACATTTCCACCAAATTTTGTCCATGTCATTTACTATTTTATCATTTTAAATATCAGGTATATTGTTTACAAATTGGACTTTCTGGTCATTTGTTGTTTTGCCTTCGTTCAAAGGTCCAAGCTCCACAACAACAGCAAAATCTGGGTCAGCTTCATCTCTTGTAAGAGATCAGAACCAAAAACGGAAAAAAAATATGGAGGCAATAACCCCTTTTGAAAAGGTCGATTTCATCCTTTCATGAGCAGATTTATAATATTCAAACGTTTTTTCCTCGCCAACACCTGAACCCTCCGTCCCAGCCAGCTCCTAAACACTGGCTGCATGTTTGCTTTGAACCGTCCGATGTTGCTGAGCAGGTGTTGGAAGCCTTTTGCTTCCCAATTTCCTGAGGAGATTTGCTCGGTAAGCCTACTCCTTTACTCGCACCACGTTTCTGCAAATTCACACATCTTCCAGCTCTCCTTGCTTTGTTGGCCCCTCTCCATCACCGCTTCTTTTTTTTGGCTGCTGCTCAAAGTTAGCACCACTCGCACGCCTCTGAGAGGACCCAAGAACTTTAAATTATTAATGGCTGGGAGAGCTTTGCCCATTCGCCGTCTCAAGCTTAGGATTTTCAGCCTGTAATGGGAGATTGAGAAATTGTCTTTTCTTTTCAGAATGACAGCAGCCATTGGTCGCTGATCCGAATTTCCATTGTGAGGATCGGCTCTCTTTTGAAGAAAAGAACCTTCACATCTTTGCCATCGGAAAAAAATGAAGAGAAACGGCCTATTCATCGGGAAGGAAAACATGATACAGAATTACTCAACAGACCTTGTGCCAAGCAGATAAAACCTGTGTTTTGTGATCAATGGGGAAAGGGAAAAATAAATAAAAAAGGTTTTCAAACATTCAGATGTGCATGCACTTTGAAAGCTCTTCTATGCAGCAGACACTTCTTACTCAGCCTTGAGTTTCCTCTTCTAAGCGACGGAAAACAACGAGGAATCTTCACTTGGCTTTACGTGTATGCGAGTCACTCTTTTATAAAGCGTCATCTGAACATCGTGTGGGATCCCACTGACGAAAATGTGTCCAAATCAATGAAAAAAGGTTGTTTTTTCTGTTAAGAGTCCACTCAATAATGTTAATCACTGTTACATATAACCTGCATTAACCTCTGAGACTATCACAATTACAAGTAGTTATGTTACAAAGCAGAGATTAAAGAAGACCGTCTAACACTTGAAAGAGTTCTTTTCCCGGCTTTGAATGACTCATATTCCCATTTTCATGACTTTTCAAATCTTTTGCCTGTAAGTTTTCTCTTGTACACACTCATACACACATACATATATGTATACACACACACACACTTTTTTGTTTTTAAGCTAAGCTCCAAAAACTTTTGGTTTGGGGTTTAGGGATTGATTGCAGAAGCTTGAAGTCAATACAAGTCCGCTTCCATTATGTTCTCAGTAAATATTTAACATTGCACACTGCAGTCCAAACTGCAAGAACCAGTGTTGTTTTTAAGCCCAGCCAGACCAGGGAAGCTGCAGACCTGGTCTTGAACTTTGGACTGGAAAGTTTTGAGACCTGACCGGGGCTTTATCTCTAAAGAACAGCGAGGAATTTGTGCTTCATCTCTCACTGGTGTCTGCTACCACTTTCTTTGCCCACACAGCTGACTTGCAGGGCGCAGTGGAGTGAGGTTTGGCTTACATCCATAGTTCTGGGAACTTAGGCCCTCAGGCTTCCAAAACCCATCTTAACGTTGAGGCCGTCCCCCGTCCAACTGACTTTAAAGTGATCTGAGATTTGCCAGTTTGCCAATTCCCAATATGGCTGAGCACCAGCCCTCACTGGCTGGCTGGAGCGTGTGTGTGTGTGTGTGTGTGTGTGTGTGTGTGTGTTTGTGTGTGTGTGTGTGTGTTTGTAAGGACAAATATGCTTGCGGGCATGTGTGCTGGATTCAGCTCCACTGACTGTTCCAAGGCCTCTGGGACTGTTAAAAAAGGCAGAAAGAATGTGATTTTCTTCTCGTCATTTGGTGTGTGTGCGAATTAAAGTGGGGAGAGGAAAAGAAAAACTCAATTTTCACATGTGGGCAGAAATTGAGAGTTGAAACCAGGACCAGGAGTAGCAGAGTTACAATAAATGGAGATTTATGAGATGGTTAGGCGAACAATGCCACTGATAGCCATCTTTCAGTTAGATTAATTGGCTTAAAAGTCCTGGGGAAACTTAAATGCGCTCATCTGGGGTTGGTTTTGATATGGACCTCTACCAGGGGAAGGGAATGAAATAAAAACTAAAATCACATCTGACTGTGCACAGATTACAATTGAGAAACAAACCAGCCGTTTCCAGTCTTAACAACATAATGTCAAAGAACTAATTAATGAACAAGAGCCCGCTCCATAGCTCTTTTGCAGATGTCCACCGCAGTTGTCGTTTATTTCTTTCCTTCTGTGAGACCAGTTCCCTGATGGGATGACAAGCTATTTCTGAGTTACAATTTCTCACTGAAAGGAATCAGATATAAACTAATCACTCATTTGAAAATGCTAATTGTATGAAAGATGAGCCATATACTGCATCCACTCTGTATATTATCTTTCCTGTCTTGGGCCAATATGCTCTGAGGTAATGTAAACAACACAAGATGTTTGAGCTAATCCAAGACCGTGAGGCACCGGATAGAGATTGGTGATGGATGGTCACAGAATCTAATCAACTAAGATGATACAGAAGTCCACTGTCTTTGGTAACACCCCAGAAACAATACGGATATATCACTGAATCTACACTGACATTACCACACTGAGGACAACAAAAGTTTGACAACTTGGGGAGACACGCATCCCTGCTCCTTCATGTGGTCAGACCTAAAGAGGTCATTCCATCGATAAGACTCGCTTTTAGTGTTTTAACCCTAAAAATCTGCTAAAAACAACTCGGTGGTGTTTGTGTTTAATTAGCCGATTTCGGAGCACTCAAATGCTCATCGTGTCTCTTCAGATTCAGCATGTTTTGAGATCATGTTGCCATGGTGACGGTAGTTTTTCACTGGAATAAGGACTCTTTAAACGTAGCCTCACAGACCCCACTTTTGTGACTGCAGGCTTTTGCCTGGCTGCTTGTTTAAACGGCTGTCAAATCCTTTTTCTTACGCTAAAAAAGAAACACCTGCTAATGTACACTGGTGAGCGTGTGCACGATGAGGCAGTGCCTGCGACGAGGCAGAGGAGCCGAGCTAGGCTGGTCACAGACGAGGGGAAATGAAAATAAATTTAAAAAAGAGAGATCCAAATCCACACAAGCTCTCATTTTCCGCCTCCTCATGTGTGCCTGACGCTTGTCTCCCCTATCAAAACTCCATCTAACAAGACTCCCCGATCCTCCCTCGGCGGCGCACACAAAAGGCGGAGGCTGAGAGAACCCACACAAAACGCGTGGATGCGGTTGAAAAGGAGAAAATCTATAAAAGGGCAGAGAGATGCAGAGGGAGTCTGGGAATCCCGCTGAGCCCCAGATTATTCACCAGAAGAAAAATAGTAAGGCACACTTGTGAGAGGAGAGATGGGTTTTGAGAAAAGGCCTGAGAACAGAGGGGAAAAGAAGAAGCAAAAACAGAATGAGCAGAAAGGGGGGGGGGGGGGGGGGGGGGGTGATTCTGGCCGGGCTGGCCTGTAAAATAATTCATGTTAGCATATTAGAGAACAACCCCATGCATTATGGATGAATTAAGATCAGAGCTATCCCCCCCAACCCCCCTGCTCCCCCCACCTCGGCTGTGAAACATGGCTACTGGCAGCATCCAGCCCTGACCCATCATCCCTCGCTCAACCCTCCGTGTCCCAGCCTCGCCCTCAAAACGAGTTGGCGGTTACCACAGCAACCAAACACCACTGCCCCGGGAGTTGGTCTGGGTGGGGAAGGAGACCGACAAACGGCTTCCAGTCCACCGGGGCTGGTGATCAATATGACGGATCTCCGCAGCCAATGGCCCACAAATCTGATGTTTTCCCAAATTTTGCCTCTTCCGAGCAGCACAAGCGGCAAATGGCATGGAGATAAAGTGGTAAAATGTGAACCTGAAGCATTTTCTTTAAAAAAAAAATCTGTGCTTCAGAGCACCCAGTTCTTGGTGTTTAAAGTTAATGTTTAAGGTCACTTTTGTCTGAAACAGCTGCAATCTTCTAGGTTTCAGACTATCATACCATCACCACCAATCCTAAAGTAGAAATGACGCTGCCTTTGCCATTTCTCTTCAGTGTGAAGGTTAAACTATTTAGCTTTTCTAACAAACAGAAATCTCACCAGCGGTTATACAGATGAGGAAATCTGACTTTGTATAGGTGTTTGTAGGATGTTCCGAATTCTGACGCGCCCTTGAACGCACAGTCCACAGCTCTGCCTTTATTGAAAAAGGCTTTTTAATCGTTGGTGTGAGGCAGTAACGCTTCTTTATGGTGATCTCTTACAAACTTCCGACCCTGAGGAGCGGAGCAAAAGAGGAGCTCGGGGATTCTGGAACGGAGATTGAAAAACCTGAACATAAACCTCTAAGGTGGCCGCTGCTTTGTCTTGCGTGGATTTCTAACAGCGAAGGCTGCTTCACCACGTCTCAAAGCAGGACTGTGCCAATAAGAAGGATCAGTGCCAGCTGTCTGTCTCCTTCTGCGCAGGAAAATGTGATTATTGGAGAATAAAACAGCCAGCAGGGGTTTGCTTTGTGTGACAGCATATGTTCAAAAGGAAGGAGTCTGATGGCAAACCTGCAGAGAAGGGAAAAACAAATAGGTCGCCCCAATCCACAAAAAAAAGCCCAGTTTTAAAGAAGATACATATTGCAAAATAAAACTAGCTTGGGTACAGCTTTTATGTTATTTTGGTCAAAGCATATTAAGGAAAATCGATTGAGACCTGAGTAAAAGGTTTCAAGTGGTGAGACAAGAGCGTGAAATTTCTCTTTGAAAGTATCCTCCCTTTACAGTAGAGGTACACGCAACCAAGAGAGATCTGCCGTTCTCCAAAAGATGGTTGGATATCGCCAAAAGGTTCAGATTCATGTTTGATCTGTCATCTGGCCTTAAGATGTCAATCGTCTCCCATGAATGTGACATTACACTGAAGCCATTTCCCCTCGGCTCTTTTTGGACCCACCTATGGGTTTCCCACAGCTTTAAGAAGAATCCTTCACACCCAGACTTCACCTGAGATTCAGCTTGGATGTAAGTCTAGGAGCTGGGGTAGAGGTCTTCATAAGATGAGGCAATAAACAAACAAGCCAAAAAACTAACTGCTATAGCAGTCGTTTATGGGAGAGAAAAAAAAAAAACAAGGGAAGCATAGGGCCACCTCTCTTTAAACGGGGGTCAGGGAGTCCACGGCGCAACTATTTTAGGCCACCGTGCTCCACTTAAGTGTCCAAACCCTCGCACACTAAATCACGAGCTCCTCTGAAAGGTGGTGACTCACACGCCGGGAATGCGTCGTGATGGGGTTGCGCTGAGTGGAAGTGGCTCTTACGCGAGTGACCGGGAGCGCAGCGGCGCCCACGGACGCCGGCATGAGGACGCACACCGGCGCGTGTGTGCACACAAACTGCCGTCAGACCAATCCATTCCTCCTCCTCTTCCTCCTCCTCCCTCGTTGTGTTTATCCTCCTCTTACGCAATCGGCCATTTAGCCTCCAGAATCCAATCAGGGTGGAAGAGGAGCACCCTGGTGGAGAGTTTTCGGCCTGGCGCTGATGACGACGGGAATTAAGGAAGTGTGTGCATCCAAACGTGTGCAGAGCAAAGTGTGTGTGTGTGTGTGTGTTGGATCCGGCGAGGTGACGGGGCTAATAATGTGCGGGGCTCTGGCTCCTCGGGGGGGGCAGCGGGGTCTCGCTGGTGAGATGAGAGCGTCTGAGGGGGTCAACGATGCAGCCAGGCAACTCTTAACCTTCACACAAACCTGTTTTTTGTTTTTTTCCTTTTTTCCCTGCTCTCCGCCTCCACTCCAAAGGTCATCGTGCTGGTTTGTAAACTTTTACTGTGACTTCGGTCCGATGCATGGCCTTGGCGGCATCTGACAAGCGTCTGTGCCCCAGAAGGTGTCGTGTGAGGGGAAGTGCTTGTGCGGGTTTTTTTTTCCTTTTAAGATTTTTTTTTAGAAATCCAGCTGTGACCCGCCTTGAATGAATCCAATCATCGATCTGAATGTCCGGCTAAAAGGCGAAGAGCCGACAAACCTGGCTCGCTGTCACGCTTTAATCTGGCTCTGCTGTGCGTCTGAAGGCTCGTGGGGACGGTAACAAGAACAAAAACTTTAATTCTCCACTATCGCGTGCAGTTTGGGCGTTGGGATTAAACGGTTAAAGCGCATTTGTAAAGCCTCCCGGAACAAACGGGCCACATCTGACTGTGTGAGGAGCTTTACGCCGACCGTTTAAAAAGGTCACAAAACTGATTTTACATGGTGGATACTCATGGGGGAGAGGTAGAGTGGTATTTACTTAGAAAATAACCTTATTTAGAATCTTTTTTTTATTTTTATTGAAACCCAGTTCTTTTCTTGATCTGGATCACAATTAACTAAAGATCAAATACGGCGGTACAGTACATTTCAGTCTTTTAAGTGCAATTATATAGAGTGGAGGCACCAGCAGAGCTAATTACAGTTCTACTAATTAAACTTGGCACTCGAGGACAGACTAGCAGAGGGAGTAATATATCTCTCAGGCAGAGGGCTTATTTCTTTTGGGGTGGGGGGAGTGCTGCAATTAGTAAACGCTGTAAAAAATAGACAAAAATAAAGCAAAAGGAGGCGTTTTTTTTACATCCACAGACACAAGTGGCAGCTCAAGTCCAAAGAAGAGACGGAAAAGTAAAACCCCTGAAAGTTTCGATTGGAGGGTAAGAGGAGGGAGATACTTTGGTAGGGAGCCAACATTGTTTATCCATGGTCTTACTGTATAGCAGCAAACTCACTTTCCAAATACTCCAAATACATCTTCTGAATGCGAACTGAACATAAAACTTGTCATTATTTGAAAAAAGAACAACAGACGGTGGCGAACAGTCTCCTGACTGAGAGCCTCTCTGATCAGCTTGTTGTATCCTGCTAATTTGTAGACTTGAGAGCCTGCTGAGCCACAGCTGGACGGGCACACAGGCGAAACCGCGCGCACACAAAGGGACTTTCATCTATCGATTATCGGTCGCACGCATGCTGTAAATTCAGTCAAGATGGGGAAACTTGTTTGTCTGCCTGAGGGAGAGAAAGGAAGCGTGTGGATACTTTGTCAGCTCATAAAGGGCCACGCTGGAGTTTTTTTTGATGGTGATAAGAAGTCCGTCTTTGGCCCTCTATGTCCCTCTCTCTCTCACACACACACACACACACACTCGTACAGTCTCTGCCTCCGCGTTAATCATCTTTATGTCCGCATGCCAGGGGCCGATATGAAGCACATGTGCAGTGACTTTGTCAGTTTATCAGCGACTCCTGTTAAGAGTCATGGTGACCCCTCAAACACACACACACATATACACACACACACAAATAACATCCTCTCCTTCTGACAGGGCTCCAGTCAGCAGTTTTCTCTCCACCTCCTCCTCTTTCCTTTTTGTTTTTTCCATTCACCCTTTTCCCAATCGACCTCGTCTTTGCCCGGTCCAGTGCCCGTCCGGGCTCTGACCGGCGCCTCATCCTGCGCTCCTCGCCCTCCCCGGTGTGCGGAGGGACGTCGTCCCAAAGAAAAAAAACAAATACAAAAACAAATAACGGCCCGCTTGCTATCTGGGACACCAGCGGCAGCAAGGCGAGCCGAGGCGTTGGCGGGTGGGGACGCAAAAGCAGTCAGCATCGTCTCTTACACACACACACACACACACACACACACACAAACACACACCTGATAGCAGTTCCCTCCCTTAGCCCCAGCTCCCCCACACCACTGCACACTGGCACACAAAAACGATCAAGACGGGAAAGCGGCGCGTCCTGCAACCGTCAGCACTTTCCCCGCGGTGTCCTCGCCACACATTCTCCCCTCATCTCCTGGATGACTCGCACGCACACACAAGCGCGCCGACCGTTCTCCATTTTCTGGAGCGTCCTGGCTCCCCGAGTCCTCGCCGACGCTGCCCCGAATAAGAAAACATGATTGGCCGTATTTTATGCTGGAGACGCGTCAAGACTGGGTGATGCTGAACTCTTCAGGCTGAGGCATTCCTCAAAGTCACTGTACACCCAGGGGGAAAAAAAGAAAAAAAAACTCATCCGAGAGGGTGAGCACAAAGGAAGTAGGCCACTTAAAAGTGTTTTAGGTTGGAGGGGTTGACACTTACGAGTGTTTCTGTGCTTGAAAACAAAAGCCTTACTGAGAGGCCATAAATGAACCAATTAACAGGGATGTAGCAAAACAAGAATGGACCAAGTTGAGGTTTTTTCTTAGTGTAAAGGGCAACTAAAATCTGCTGCCTACAACAGACAGGAGAGACATTTTGAAAAACAACATTGGCTTTAGGGCATTTGAAGTTGCTGCTATCCCTACCTTCACCGATGGTTGTGAGTGATCCCACCAAAATGTTGCTTTAAGTAAGGGAGAGACTGAAACTCGTATCTGACCTGTGCATGAGCCCATTTCTCCCTCCTCTGTGAGCAATCACAACCAACACCTTCCCCAGCTTTTTTTTTTTCTTTTCCATGCAATTCCGTCCGGTTTTCTCCTGCGTCCTGGCTTCTTTTCCCTCCTCTGTTGTGGTCTTGTTTGGTTGGTGGGTGTTCAAAGCCCCCAGCGGTCCCAAAGGAGCGGCCCGGCGGCCTCTCCAGAAGGAAAGCAGAGGAGCTCTTGCGGTTGAAAAACAGCTCTCTCGGCCATTGTTTGGGGTTTCCTGCGGGAATGTTTTTGGTACACACTGGCCCTTTCATAAAAAGCCTTGGAAGGAGAGGCGCACGCTGACAAACCGATAAGAGCCGACACAACGGTCAGACGGGGAGCCGGGTCGAGGCGCTCGCTGCCTTTTTATGACCGCAGAGAGTCCGACTCTGACACCAAGTTAACCTGGAAACAGACGTGTCTGCCACAGAGTGCCACGCCATGAGAGATTTCACATGAAACAGCAACTGGAAAACAAAAGGCGAACCTGTGGTCAAAACGTTGGCCGACTTCCACGAGAGAGTAGTCGCCATTTCAAAGTGAGCCAAGACTACCTCTAGGTCAGGGGGTGGTCATGCAGAGAACAAAAAGAAAAGACTACTTAAATGTTTTCATCTTGCCAACACCCCTCCATGACAGTCTGCATGCGCTACCTTTACTTCGAATGTATGAGGACCACATCCTGATTTCAATCTGCTGCCGGGAAATCGAGGAGTTAGAAGCTAGAGGCCACGAGAGGACGGAGCCCAGCCGAAGGAAAGTGCAGAGGCTGCCGTTTCTGGGAGTATAGGAATGGAAATCCCATTCTGTAGGCCGACGTGTCCAGTCAAACAATGTTAGCCTACAACAACAGTGGATTAAACCGGGCCGGGGGTCCTCGTGGAATGCGTGCAAGTTGACTAATAAGGTCCTTTTCCTCTACTAACTTTCCCCGACACACTCTCCTCAGTGATTACTGCGCTCTGGAGCTGGGGTGTCACTTGGTGCTTGGCCGCAGGGCATGGCTGGACGAGCTGGCTGGTTATTGATTCACTTCATGATTAAAGCTGCCCGCTCGCATAATGTGGCACCGGCGGGTCGGAAAAACGATTGGTTTGAGGTCGGGCCCATACCACCCACCCAAAGCCATTATAAGACCGGGGGATATTTATCTGTAAGGCCAAATCTGATGTAGTAACTGTTATTACAGAATGAAAGTCGTCCTCTGTTGTTGCGCATGCAGATTATTTTGTTGCTAGAATCGTTTTTAGACCTCGGGAACCCAAAAATTGTTATTTCCCATTCTTTGGGCCCTTGCGTTGGCTCCATTGCAGCGTTTTTTTTACACCCGTCTGCACAGGCCTGGTGGATGCAGGCAGATGAGCCCATCCCTCCACATCCAGAATCCTTGCTCCGTGGGTCTAAAAACAGGAAGCTAATCTGCATTTGGAATCTACTGCCGGTGCCTTTCTGCTGCGAAGGCTTTCAAATTACTGCTCGTTCCTGCACCTAATAAACAGCGAGCGGCGGCGCGCTGGCGGTAAAATATTGCATTTTAAATGCCAGCTGCTTTTGCATTATAGATGCGGCTCCTTTTAATTTGTTGAACAACATTACAAAATCGCACAATACACATATCAGCTTTAGTTATGTACCTGCCACAGGGCATAGCCAAATACACAATACGACAACCAGTCTTAACAGCACGCCTGTTCTGGTTGGGAAAAAAAAAAATCATAAATATGGTGTGTAGAACTTAAAAATTCCCCGTTTTATGATGTATTGGAAGCAATACAATAGAGGAATTTAGAGTATTAGCCTTGAAGTATGAGGGAAAGGATCCAGCAGATTCCTATTGAGTTGCTGAGTGATCGGCTGAAATGAACGCTGTGATTTAAGCGCTGCTTGTTGGAAAAGCAGAAGGAGGGCATTTGCTCTG